AAAGACAGCTGAAAACATTTTTGTAAGAGTCTTAGTAATTTTTGCTCTCAGTTGTCTGCTACTACTTACCTATTTTCATAACAACCTTTTAATTATCTTCTATTATGATGCAACACACCTGATGCAACAACCTACAGTGTTCCTACTTCTTATGAAAGTAGGGCTTTTTTGCTTGTTTTTTGCTGTCTGTACAAGTACTGCATTTCAAATACTTTCTTAATTTCAAATATTTCATGTAGAAACAGAAACTAAAGATGAAAGTAAATGTTTATATACTTTAAAATATCAGCTTCCACTTAACAGCAATACTTGCATAGATCACACAGTATCTCAGTGTATGTTTTGAAAATATTGAAGATTAAATATTTTATAGCACATTCTATTTTCCCCCAGGTATACAGCTACAATATCATAGTTTCACAGCATTTTTAAAGAACATGGATATTGACACTGGCTTTGCAAACAGGTAAACACATTTTAAATGCCTTTTTTGACACATAAGATCAAGAGACTACAGAAAAACAATGCTATTTGTACTAAAAAATCAAGCACTCCAAAACAGGAAAAACCACATAGTTTTCCTAGGTAACACTGTAACCCTTTTAGTTTGTGTATCCATTCTGCTCGCTGAATAAGGTAACAGTTATAAAGAACACCGATGAGCAGCAACAGAAAGAAAAAAAATCCACAAGAAAAGAGCAAAGAGTCAGTACAAGACAACTAAGAGAGACAAGAAGCTAGATTTAGATTGGCAAGTCAACCCTAAAAGTCAAATCTGGACCTGCAATCAAAATTAAATGCTTCTAGTATTCCTTTAGGAAAAAAAAATAATCTATCAACTAGGCAAAATTCAACCATTACACATCACCTGTAGGAATACTACACTGCCAGAACAAATTTGCCACTTTGTTCAGCCAAACTAGCTAGTGGGAGGACACTTTTCTCACCACCATTTGCCAAGAAGTGCAGGTACTGTCTGTCCCTCTCATACAGAGGGACAGTTTGAGAAAGTCCTTCCCCATCCTCCTCCCCACATAGCACAGCTGTTCTGTCCTGTGGGAAACACGACTTTTAGTCTAAGCTCATTTCTGCCTTTAAACAATCAAAAGAGCTGATGAATACAAGCAGTATTGTAATGTAAAAGATGTAAGCAACAACCTTCAACAGTTCTATATTTCAGCAAAAATTGAATTGAATTTCCTAGTAAAGAAGCAGCACATTTCTAAAGTCAGAAGATCTGGTGTACATCCTACGTATATACTACAAGTGCTAAGCAAGTTACAAGTCAGTATTGACAGCACTGAAACCTGAAGCCACCTTAAGGCTCTAACATGACCTACTGCACGTTTGGAAGTAGACACTCAGGTATAGGCTTTCTAAAAAACCTAGGTAACAGGACAGAATAGAACCAGCATTAAAAATAAATAAACTTTAAAAAAAAAAAAAGAGATGGGAAGCAAGCATTCATCTCCTATCATGGTTAGCAGCTTCCGATTGTACACTCTTAAATCAGTAGTCCACTGATGACTGGATGAAAGTCTGAGAGGCTATATAATTAGATTATAAATGATCTACAGAGTGACACTATCTATGTAATTTAACAGCCAAAAGCTTAGAATATGATATCTGTGTAAGAAATTCTGATCAAAATCATTCAAGGCAGTAGTATAGAAACCTGACCTAAAGGTAAACAGAAATTCATGAGCTACAAAAATTCTGTAGGAATTATGAAGTATGTTGTTCTACATCAGTCTTTTTAACACATCCTGAACTTTAAGATAAGTGTTTTGGAAAACAGAATTTTTAAAGACGATGTTATTACAATACCCAGTCTTTCATATAATAGTCACTCACCGTCTGCGAAAGGAAACAGCACATGAACATTCTACCGTAAACTAAGTATAAATGGGAAGATGGTTTTCCTCAAGCTTCACCAGGTGTGCTCAGGGGCTACATCTACCAAGTATTTTAAGATCACTATGATCTTCACATTTGTATACTTTTTCAACTACCAACTCTGAAGAGCCAGCAATATGCCAAGGAGACATGTAGCCTAGTTATTAATCATTAAGAAAGTAAACCAAACCAAACATCTCCACATGTGTCTCAATTTCAACAGATGCTGAAGACATTAATATTAAATTCTTCAGGAAAAAAGCACTAGTGAGTGTATAAATAAATATTTATTATAAATAAATAAATAGTGAGTGTATACATTTCTTCTCTGGTAATATAAAGACCTTAATTGCTCTTCCTTGAAATCTTTGAAAAGACAAATCATGCTTCAGCTCCAAGGGAAAAAAAGCATATTAAAAAAGATTAGAGAACAGGGATCACTTAAGTGAAGACTGCTGTAAATTGATCCACGTAATTCTTTATTAGTTTATGGGCATGTATATAACTCCTACAGAAACACTAGTGTTTCCTAAAGGGAAAAAGAAAATTTAAAAAGAAGAACAGTCAAAGAAAACTAGACAATTGAGATTTGGCTCTGCACCATAATCACTTTTCCTTTTAATATGCCCATTGCTGTTTTGCTTTTAATTCAGGTATCAGTTATCTAAAACTAAGCATGCTCACACTACAATGAGTTCTTAAGCAAGGGTCTCCCTCAGCTGAAGACAAGCGATTCATAATAAAGCTCAACTTTAAAACAGCTTTAAACTGTGCACATTTTTTACACATCTGACATAAAAGTACAGGAACTAGACTTGTTTTGAGAAATATGAAAATAAGCATAGATAGAAGAAAGCTGAACCTCTCTGTAGTCTTGAAAAGAAATTTAGTCATTAAAAAGAAAAAAAAAAAAAAGAAAAAAAAGTCTTTATATTTCTGTTCCTGGCATCTAATGACACCATTAAAAAAAAAATCAAACTGAAGGTAAAATATTTTTAGTCTGGTTGTTTTAAAAGTTACCAATGGGAAGAACTGCCAGAGGCACAACTGAGAACATACACTCTAATCCTCAAACCTTAGCTCATGTTCTTCCTTACATTGTCTTAAAAAAAGCAAAACAAAACCACACTAAATTACCAATTGGGACTGTACGAATTAAGATAAAGCCAAATTCTTTTACACCAACTCCTCCCTTCCACGGACAACAGTTCCTGTTCAAATAGCAGTATTAGTTGCCTACTGTCAACTTCAGCTTTGCTGCAGTGCATCACTAAACAAATATACCATTTTACCAAGCAAATCATAACAGAGAACAGTGCAATGAATCTGATGTTTGTAAGCACCACGTGGGAGCTTTTTGTCAAAGTCAGTCAATAGCTTCTTACGTTAACAAAACTTCTTACAGGAAAGAACTGCTGTCTCAAAACATGTACTTATTTAGATTAATTTAACCAGCTATAATTGTCCACCACCTGAGTCAGCTATTTAAAAGGCATAGTTTACTTGCATTATTTTAAAAGCCCTCATTGCCTTTGCATTCAGAGTCCTGTCACTCTGAATGCAAATGAGCCTCCACATGGAAGTGGTGCCTGTTTCGAGAAACTTTCCAAATGACTGTTCTTAAATTACTAAGAATTAAATTCAAGGGGTAAACAAATACATTGATGTTGTAAGTGCTAGGGAAAAAATCAAATACTCCAGAAAAACAAATTTGTTTTTTGTCCCAATAGTCCAATTTTGCCTCTCAGTCCAAGTATATTATGTCTCAAACATTCAGAAAAGCCAAAACTGTATCTTTCTACCACAGAGACTTCTGTCATTGCTCAAATCCCAGATGCAAATTGTTTCCACTGTTGAAATGCATTAATTCAGATTAACAGAAAGAATTCTGAAAAGAGATGCTACTGTTCTTTTAAATTAAGATACAGATAACTGAAGTTTATGTTGAATTTTTCAACTCCTGAAATAAAGATATTAAAAACTTAGTTTCTACCCCAATTCTGTTATTACTTATGAACACATAACTTGCGACATCCCTGCTTTCTGGTGAGTCACATCACCAACCACATCAAATCTAGAGCCATCTGCCAGCTCCCTGATCACAACTGTTAAAATACAAAAACACAGCATGTTAAATGTAAGAAGCAATTTCAGTTCTGGTGTTCATGGCTTATATTCGCAGTCAGATAAAAAAACTCCTGGAAGAACTGCAAAAGACACACTAATACTCCTTATGAAGTATAATTTTGCAAGCAAAGACACGATTAGTATTAAAACTGTCAAATGCATTAATTAATTTTTGTTGTAACATAAGCATTTCACTGAAGTTACATGACAGATGTTTGATAACATCATTGAACATTTCAGGTTCTATGACTACATTAAGTAACTAACTTACCATCAGGTACTTGCTAATTTTTCTTTAGAAAGTCTGCAAGTTACCAAATTCATTCAAGACTTGATAAACACTATTGCATTTGCAAAAGGAAAAATACAAATTTCAGAAAAAAAATCCTGAGAAGTTATTCTGCCCCACAGGAAAATACTTCCTTGAAGGTTTTTTGCCCCACTTACATATAGACCTTACAGGATAAGTTCAAACTTAATTTAGGTGAGATGAACAGGATTCAAAATGTAGAGACACACATGTAATTTCCATTTTGGGGCTCTTAAATTAGAAAAAGAAGTTCATATTCCAAAACTACAGGTAAAATTAACCTTGAACTTGGCTGGTCTTTTTAATATTTTTTAATATATTTTAGCATCTGCTATTCTGAATTCAGCGGTTAATTCTCAAAAGTACAGTGAATGACAACTGAATACACAATATGACTTGCTCTGACAAAGAAAAAAAAAAAAGGATTTCTGAGGACAAGACAGACCACTTGATCACTTACTAATTTAATTTCTCTGAGGAAGTGACTGCATTTTTAACGCAACTCCATCAAAGTACAACGTACATAATTAACACTAATCCTCTGAGAAAGGCCTTTAAGGAACGCATGTAAGAAATGTACAAAAACTTCAAGTCGGCATCTAAAAGCACTGGTTTAAAATCAAGCAGATACTTAAGTAAAGGTTCCTCGCTTGCATAGTTTGCTTACCTCTGGGGGGGGATATAAGGAGCAGATACTGTTGGCATAACTGTACAGGGTTCAACCACTGTTTTCTTGGCTTTTTTTGTCTTTTTTCTGACTTTTGATGTAGACCTAGCAGTTCTGACTGATCCCTCCTTTCTACAAACACCGTTTTTGATTTCAGCTTCTCCATAAATATTCAGAGGTCTCCGTGTGCAACCTGGTGGAGTATGTACATCACAATAGGCAGTCTTTTTCACAGAGAATGTTGTTCCACTCCCAGTTAGTTCTTTCACAGGTTCCATTTTCATATACAGACCGGCCTTTTGAGCACACGTCACATGGAATGCAGTATAGCAGTTTGCTTTGTGGCACTGGATGCAGGCACCAACACCTTTCTGTTTACAGAGGTAGCATGTTAACTTCCATCTGGCTGGGGGAATGTTCCTGACACCATCAATTGGCTCAATAAAAACTGTATTGGCAAATCCAACTTCTGGAATCCACAAAGCACACACCACGTGTCCCCAACGATCATCATCAGTCTTTTTAAAGGCACCTCCCTTGTTTGGGCACAGCACACAGTCTACAGGCCGAGAGCGGGACTGCAAACAGTGTCTGCAGAGCCACTGGCCCTCAGGTATATATGGCACCCCATAGCATTCCTGATGTACTGCTAAATTACACATATCACAAAACAGGATCACATTGCTGTTCTGACATTCACCATCCATGCATATACAACACACTGCATCTTCATCAATTAAAGACTGATGATCACCCTGTTTTTGGTTCTCACAATAGGACTCTTTTTCAAACCTATCCATAAGGAATTCAAACATATTTTGTGAAACAACTGACACTCCATCACTTTTCCGCTTATCATTTATCAATTCTAACCATGCATAATCTTCTTCATCCATGTCATACTCAACTTCGTTATCAAGTTCTTCTGCTGACTTCTCAATGAATTTGTAATAAACTGGAGGTCTCCGAGGAGCCGAAGGGGGACTGTATTCAACAATCCGTACTTTTGGTTCTGGAAGAGGAGCTGTTGTAGCAGGTATACCATGCGAGCTCGGAAGAGCTTCATTTTTCTTTTTCACTTTGTTATTTTTATGCCGCTTGCTTCTTAGACAAACTGGTGGTCTTTCACTATTTTCTTTATTGCTGTTGCATTCACTCATTTCCTGGGCAGTAAGATCATCTTCTAATATAATCTCTAAAGGATCGAAGATACTGATCCTGTGCAGGCGACCTTCAATTTCTATTTCAACCATCCTTTGAGCTTGAGCATATGTCAAGGTTTCTCGTGTGGGGGAGTGTTTAATACTGCATGGGGAAGAAGAATGCCTGGCTGCCGATACTCGATGGCATCTTCCTTTTCTCCTCATTTGGTAATGTTTACCTAAAATTAGAGCAACAGTTAATATTATGAACTCCAAACAATCATATTAAAATACGTAGCAAGGAAAAAAACCTTCAGTTCTATAGCCCCCAATATATCTACTCAATTAAAAAGAAACAAAACCAAGACTGTCACGCTTACTCAACAGGACTGCTCACACTGCTTTGTACAAATTTAACCTAATGATCAATTGATCTTCTAAATAACAGCTTCTCTGAGTAAACACAGCTATACAAAATCCTTGCTGCAAAAATCCTACAAAAGTGCTATCTGCAAGATTGCTGCATGAGAACAAAGCATTTCAGAAGTGCCACGGATAAAAAAAAGCCGGCATTTGTTACCTTACAAGAAAACCTTTAATACAGTATTTCCTAATATCTTAAGGGTGCCTGCAGTTAGAAAATTTCTTGAACAGGTACAGATTACTTCCTCCAGACCTCCCTTCAAAAGAACTAATGCAATTGTGAAAGAAAACCAAGTTTTTCCACTAATTTTTTTCCAGTGCAATTTGGAACAGCCACGTTGTCTACTATTATAATTACTACACCTATACTTAAAGCTAGAAAAATGCACATACTTCTGAATTTGGCAAGTATGCAGTTTGACAGCCCTCTACTTTTTTTAACTTTCCGTAATCCTTAGTGAGCCTATTATTCTTCAAAACATGACAAGAACATAATTGAACTTGCAGTGCCCAATGTGGTGCAGTATGGAGTGCAACTAGGAAATATTCCACCTGTAAAGCAAATTTGACTTGCCAAAATGTGCTCCCCGCTTTTAAGTATTTGACTTAGAGCCAAAATGTGCTCCCTGCTTTTAAGTATGCAGGTACACACACCCTTCTCCCTCAACAGATTCTTCAAGAGCTGTTCTCAGATCAACAGGATAGATAAAAGCCTCCCTCTCTTTAAATCCAGTCCCAAGCTCTTTAACACAGTTTTCAAGTTTATGACCTACTGCAAAAAGATCACATACCATACAAAAAGATATCTTCCCAGACAAGTATGAATTTTGGTCACAAAATTTCTAAATTAAAACCTTCCATACTTCTGCCTTTTGACATCTTCACACTGTGTGGAGTTTTTCTCGTATGAGGGTTGAAAATATTACAATAATTATAAACCAACAAACGTTTGCAAAAAATATTATAATAATTATAAACTTGACTGATAAGGTCAAGTATAAAATTCTATACCACTCCTTCCTTCTTCTCAATAAATCATTAATAAATAGCATCATTCAACCTCAGCTGCAGAAAAAACCCACAACCTTTAATCACTGCCTTAAAGTATTAATAGGGCCTCACTGTTTCAACTCTGCACTCTGAGTCAGTGCTGCATATTAGTTAAAATAACACAACTATTGTTGAAGGCTAGTGTATCTATTTCAAGGAAGAAAATGGCAAGCAATGGAACAACAAGAATTACTCCAGGGCATCTGTCTTTTCCTTAGTCTATGATGCCAATCTTAAAGATTCACCTCCAAAGTACTAGCGGAACTCCTTTTATACGAAGACTAAACAATTTAAGCAGCTAACCCTAAGACTAGTTCCTGAGAGGATCTATCTGCTCTCACAAACTGACCTTGCTTTCTCAATGTGAATTGGCAACAGTGTTGCTCATAGATCTGACTTTTATACAAATAATTCTTAACTCTTACTTATTTTTATAGCATAAAAACAGACAACAGTCAGTGCTAACTCATGACAGATCTCTGATCTGCTCTATATAAACAAAAGATGAAGGTTCCACCTTTTCAAACAAGTTTGGAAGAAATATTTAATAATTAAATTCTGTAAAATAACACAGGATACAATCACACTGATTTCTTAACTGCGGAAAAAAGTTTAAACCATTAATGCTGCCATAGAAGGTCCAATGACTAAAAACAAAAACATACTGATAATTTAATGGACATTAAAAGTTAGTTCCCAGTTTCCATACAGATTTTATAATTCAGAAGTAATAAATATATACTCAAAGCTAATACAAAGGTTCTGATTTCTGTTTATTACTGTGAGCAAATAATGATGGATTCTTCATCTAAAACACACTGATGTGTCAAGGTACAGCAACTTACTACAGATCAGAATGGATTAATTTTATATGACTTTGTTTTATATGTCTGTCTTTACTCACCAATCAAGGAAAACAAATAGGTTATATCATGTTTACCTCATATAATTGCATTTCAATTCTGTCTAGATGTGAAAGTCTGTTTTGATATTTTTAATGTCCCTTTCTACATCTTAGCTGGTTGTGTATCTGTTCATAGCAGCTCCTGAGAACAGAGACTGTTTTGAAAACAATAGCAAGGAAGGGACAAGAGGTGGCCTTCAGAAATCAAAAACATGTGTAACTTGTCCATGCTATTTATCTTAGCCCAGTACCACAGAAAAACATATTAATGCTCAGTTTCCAAGATCTCCAACCCACTCGGTTCCCAAGATTTTTAAGCATGGTTTCAAGCAGATACTAAGAACAGGAAGAAAATACTTAAAAATATAAGCATTCTTGCTTAAATATTTAGGACTGCTGTTGCAAAAGTCAAATAAACTGTATGAACCAGAATGATAAAAGATGATTGGGCTAGCAACTAAGCATCTTTCCTGCAAACACTCAACAGTAAATACAGCCCATTAGGAAACAAATTAACACAGAATGGATACCCTACAAATACAATGCAGTGCACATAGAATAGGAATTGGTAGTTCTCTGGACAAATTCCATGCAAATTTAGTGTGAATAACTTAAATGCCCCGGAAGCCAAAGTAGTGTTTTGTTTCTTCAAAATCCTTCTGTTTGCAAACGTTTGCAATACTCCAGATTAAGACTATATTTCTGCATAGCAAATTCACAGAATCACAGAATATGCTGAGTTGGAAGGGACCCACAAGGATCATCGAGTACAACTCCTGGCTCTGCACGGGACCATCCCCAAGAGTCACACCATGTGCCTCTGCATATTGTCCAAACACTTCTTGGACTCTGTCAGGCTTGGTATTGTGACCACTTCTGGTTTGCTTCTCCTAGGTAATTATCAGGTATCTTTCTCCCTCCACCCTGCTCCCAGTATCCTGTAGATCGACAGAAATCACGACCATGGATTTAAGTTTGAAAAAGGGCAAACTAAGACAAGTTTCCATTCAATATTAACAAAGATACCACACTAACTGCAAACAATATTGTATCAATGCACTTGTGTAAGCACTTTTCTGCCTCTTATGACTCAAAGACTGCAGGATATAAACCAGGAAAGTTAATCACAGCCTTCCTCTATTAGAATTACATCAGCTTCTTCGGAAGAAAGTCATTAGCAGACGTTCTCCCTCACCATCAACAAAAGTACATAAATACAGCTATTTCGTGTGGTATGAGGCAAAAACACCCCCCAAACCGAAAAAAAAACTATGAAGGTGCAGGATAGCTAAACATAAAAAGCACGATAACATAAACTTTTTGATCACCAATCTCTATCCTAGTTACCTTCCTCCTCTTCAAATAAATTGCCTTTGGTCCCTGGATCCCCTGCTCAATGGAAAAGGGAATTCCATTCTCAATGGGCACTTTCATGCAGACCATTAAAAAGAGAAAGACACAGGAATGCTCTTTAATCCCAGACAATGAGGGACGGTAAGCACACCGTGCTTACTCGCACTTGGGGCAGACCCACCCACCGCTCCAGCCGCACAGCGGGAGCGACCCCCGAGCGATGACCCCCGGGCGCGGCACAGAGCGAGGCTCAGGGAGCCCAGCGAGCCGGCCCGGGGACGGCCGAGAGACGCGGGGCCACCGGAGCCGCTCTTCCCCGGGCCGGCGGATGGAGCCCGCCGACGCCAGACCCCGCAGCCATCGGGGATCCCGCAGCCATCCCGGGATCCCGCAGCCCGCGCGCGGTGCCCACGCCCCCAGGCCCGCCTTCGCCGGTGCCGCGCCAACACTTCCTGCCCACGCCCAGGGAGCCTCCAGCGCTCCCTCCCCTCCGCGCCGATGGTTCCTGCCCGGCGCGGCGCTCCCCCCTCCCGGCCCCCAGCAGGATGGTTCCTGCCCGGGCCCATCATCTCCAGCCCTTCCCAACAGTCACTCCCTCCCCGCCGCGAAAATACTCGGCCCACAAATATGGCGGCTGACAAAACAGCTCCAGCGGCGCCCTCCTCCCTCCCTCCCCCAGCCCGCCGCGCTCCGCTCGCCTCCCCGCCCGCCCGCCCTTCCCTTCCCCACCCCGGGCTGCCGTGCCCATCCCGCCTCGCTCTTCCCCCCACGCCGCTCTCCCGTTCCGCCACGGAGGGACCCGCCGGCTCCCGGCCCCGCAGCCCCCCGCCCGCCAGCTCCGCCGTCCGCCCGGCCGCACTCACGCTCTGGGAGCCGCCGAGGCGCGGCTGACAGACCTCCCTCTCCGCCGCTGCGGCCGACGCTCGGCCGGGTTAATGGCGGAGGCCCCGCCGGTGCTGCCGCCTGGCCCCGCGTCCGGCAGCCGCGGGCGGGCGAGCGGGCGCTGCGAGGGCCGCGCTGCCCGCGGCGGACACCCGGCGCTGGGTGCGGGGCTGCTGCTGCCGCCGGGCGCGGCGCATTCGTGAGGCGCGGCGCGGGTCGCCGTCCGGCTGCGGGCTCGGCGCTCGGCTCCCGGGGCTGAGCGGCTCCCCTCCCCCCGCGGCACAAACAATGCGGCTTCACCACAGCGCTGCGCCGACGGGGGGGAGGAGGAGAGGCGGGCGGGGAGCGAGCGAGCGAGCGAGCGAGGGAGGGAAGGAACGCGAGGGCGCCAGGCACCGCCCAGCCCCGCCGCTGCCGCCGCCGCGGGGCGGGGCCTGAGCGCCGCCTCCCCCCTGCCCGGGGCCGGCACCGGCCGCGCTCGGGGCTCGGAGCGGGAACGAGCCGCCCCCGGGGCTCGGAGCGGGAACGAGCCGCCCCCGGGGCCGCCGCGCTCCCGCCCAGCGCCGGCCGGGCCCGGCCCGAGCCCGCCGCGCGCCCCCGGCGGATCGTCCGAACGCCCCAGCACGG